TGCTCTGCCATTGAAGTGTGACCATTCTGTTTTAATTTTCCAGTTCCTTCTCCCAGTAAATTTCGCTCCCCAGCAGCACCATCTCCTCTGGCTCTGAAGCAGCCTGTAAAAGCATTTAGTAACCATGGACCTAGCTCTGCTGTTCCAGAAGTTATCCAGCTTCCACACAACAACTCTTCACCAGTGCAGTTAGCAGCTCCCAATTCAGTCTCTCCGAGTCCAGCCAGCAACATCAACAGTGCTACACTTACAAGACCTGCAGGGACAACAGGGATGAGGAGTGGCTTACCAAGACCTAGTGCCCCCTCCACTGGGAGCATACCAGTGCCTCGCAGCAAACTTGCACAGCCTGTTCGCAGGTGAGTTTGTTGCTTTGATTTAAAATTTTCATATTGCAGAAGCATTTCCCTTCGATAAAATAAATACTTGCATACCATGAGCACTAGTCTGGTATTCTATTTTATTTCCAAACTTAAGGGCAGAGTGAATAGTATTATAATTACTGAAATCTAGAAGTTTGTGGAGTACAAATTTATGTTAAGCAAATATTAAGGTGGATTTTACTGTGAATTATTATTTTTAAAACACCTGCTTATGTAAATTATAAATCAAATACAGTTCATTATCCCTTTGTTGAAAATACCACTCAGATTTTCTGACATACACAGGAAGCAGCTGAGGCTGGTAAAGTGCCTGATGTCAGCCCTTTAGTTGACATTGAAAGTTTCAAGTCAGGCTCAGAGTTGTTTAAAACAATCCTCAGTGCATTTATTACTATTTGTTTAATATATATTTTTGGTTATCTTTCAAGATGGTGGTCTTCCAAAGGCAGATTGCAACACAAACTGTTAAAATTTTGCAGGTCATGAGTGGGGTCAAATCTGGTTTAGATTCCCAGTCAAAAATCCCCTATATGTCTCAGGATATAAAAAGTCCCGTCAACGTACAATGTCTTCTGACATCCTTGTTCTCCTCCACCTGGACATTAGTTACAGGATTGCTGTTACAACTGTGTTGTATACCTTGTGCAAATATACTAGTAACTTTTGTGTTATGCAATCCTTTGTCATGCAAAGCTAGGAATCTCTGCTCCAGCTTGATAAATCTCCAGCTATCTTGTTGGGTGAGGGAGTTTCTCATTCCCTTTTTAACCTCATCCTACATTTCCTTTATATGAGTTCAACCTGTCATTCTTTCCTTTGTCAATTAAATATTGATTTCCTTTGTGATTAAATGCAAGTTTACTTACTTGGCTACACATGTACAAGGCAATGTGTTGAGACCAGAATATTCCAACTAGGGCAAATAAAACACAGCCTGTCCTTCATTCAGAGGCCTATGCCTCATTGAGATATATGCAGATAGGATTTGCTTCACTTTAGAGTAAATAAATAAATACTTGTGGCACATTGTTAACATCAACGTTGAGAACAAAGAAGGAATTTCTGGTATAATTTTCATTAATTTTCATCTCCTCTGCCACGAAGGTGCAGATAACATGGGTGTTAGATAACCCAGCAGCATTTTGTTTCATAGCCCTATTGGTTCCCTCTGTTTCAGAGATCATTATTAGTCCTTCCAACAGGTGATTGATGGAAATAGCAAAAAGAAGCACTACACAGTGCAGTCTTCTGTCATTTCCATTTAGGCTAGCCTGTTGACTTCTTTAAGTTCTATTGGATTTAAGTTGAGAATGTTAAGCTTGGTGTGTTAAATTGCCTCAGACTCCCTTTTTAAATTATCTAAATTTAAAATTTGCCTGAGGTACAGAAAGGAAAGCTACTCCCTGGTTTGCATGCACTACTTTTTCACTGAGGGAATGGCGTTGCTGAAGGGGAAACTTACCAAATAACTCCAAAGCAGATCCTTATGTGGACTTCAGTCACCTTAAATAAAAGTAGTTATTTAATGGGCTTCATAGTTCAGCTATACATTTAAGTGACAGATCTGACAAATATCAAGTTATCTTTGGATCACAAATTTCAGGAAAGTTATTAATATGATATAATTACCATATTTTCCAGCGTATAAGACGACTTTTAAACCCCGGAAAATCTTCTCAAAAGTTGGGTGTCATCTTATACGCCAGGAAGAGAAGGGACCTCCCTCATCCCGGCCGCCATCTTGTCTCCCTCCTCCTCCCTGTCAGCGCACTCACCGCACTGGACTGGGTGAGACCCTCAGGAAGATCAGGGAGGAGGAGGAGGAGGAGGCAGTCGTGGCTTGGCCTGTGGGAAGAGGAGGAGGAAGCGGGCTGAGGCACGGTGTTTCTGGGAGGGCCTCCCTTCCTCCCTCACTGC